AAATGCATGCATCTGGACTGAACATGTGTAGGCATCTTCTTGCCATTATTCCTTAGACAATGAAGTGTAACAACTATTTTCGTAGCGTCTAAATTGCATGAGACAGTCTAGGTCCCCTAGAAATGATGTAAAATATAGGGGAGGCTATGTGTAGGTTACAAAAGGGGCCTGAGGTTTATGGTTGTGGTGTCTGTGGAGGGGGCACAGGACAATCCCCATAGATATGGAGGGGGACTGTACTTGTTTTTAGTATGCTGTGGGAGATGGCAGAGGCAAAGGCAAGCTGAAAGCAGTGGATTATTGGTAGTAGGGGTGCTCATCTTGCTTCATAAATCACCCCGCTTTGAGCCCTTAATGGTACAGGTTGTTGTTCAGCTCCCCGTGACCTGTCAGCATGCTCCCGGGCAGAGAAAGCGATGATGGCTGTATTCCAGAGCTGTCTCCTCTCTTTGGGGAGCAGCTGCCACTCAGGAGCTCCCCTGAGTACACAGCCCAGAATCGCCTGTGCCGGAGGCTGCCACCACCTCCCATCTGAGGGCCTGTTTAATTTGCCCTTTTTCATCATACTGCTCTCTTGACACCGTGGAAATGCCTCCCACCCACAGAACAGCTGCGGTTGGATAAACTTCTCCCCAACCTTCACTGTTCACACACTGATGAATTTAGCTGCTTCCTGCCACTCAAGAGGCCCTTTTGCCATGTTTTTTTTTCAGACTTTGTTGGTGTTTTACACCCTTCCCAGGATTTAGCTGTGTCCCCGGGTGTGGAGTAGGGTAGGAAGCAACAGTGGATATGAAGGAAGGCAGTGTAATTAGGGAAGGGATTTGGGGGAGGAAGAATGAGGCTTTCCTTTAAGAGTCATGGAAACATTCCTGATCCTCTGAGGTTGATTTCTGATGGGGTCTTCCTCACTTTCTTACTTGTTAGAAGACAGGGGTCACAGACGTGTGAAAGAGCTCATTAAACATGCATTGAGTGGATGGAGGAGAGAATGAATAATCTTATTTCGTGTAGCCAGGATTCTGAGCTGGTGAAAAAGACAGAGATACTGAGCAACAAGGAAAGTACAGAGTGAAGGATCAGACAGTGTGGCTTGGGGCTGGGGTTCCCACTGATGGACTGCCCTTGGGCACCAGCTTCTGCATCTGTGTCCTGAAAAGCGTGGCCAGTATTTGTGATCTTAAATGTTTCAAGCACAAGGATTTTTCTAAAATGTTTTTGATGAAATACTTCAGACATACACAATATATGAAGACCAGATATCTACCACCCAACAGAATTCCCTCTTAATACACTAATGGTGATTTTAGCAATCCTGGATGTAGAAAGTGATGATATTGAATAGTAGCAGTACAGGAGTGTAGGAATTAGTATTTTAATTGTTACAATAATAACTACCATTAACAGATAGTACATGAACTCAGTATAAGAGTGCATGCCTGTAGTTCCAGCTACTGGGGAGAATATATGATTTCTCTGACAGACCCAAATATAAATAAAGAGTCATGTTAAGACATAGACTCTACAGAGATGAGAAGGAAGGGGATGGGAGGATGTATCACATAAAACACTTTTAAAAAGAAAATAAAAGCACACATATCCAGATATATTCAGTCTAAGACAGTTCTTGATGCAAATGAAGATATGTAGTATGTCCAGCAAATAAGTGGATAAAGAAAACGTGGTACATACACAGCATGGAGCACTACTTGGCTATCAAGAAGGATGAACTTGACTCACCTGTAGGAAAATGGATGCATCTGAGGCCATAATGTTAAGTGGAATATGTCAGATACACAAGCTTGACCATCTCGTGGTTTCTATTATATGAGACACCCAAAGTGTAAACAAAGAGCAAAATAAAAGGTAATAGGAAGCAGGAAGATAGACCTTTCTCTAACAGGAAGAGGTCCAAGAGATGGGAAGATAGGGAGGGAGAAGAGGGAAAGGGAATGAAAACAGGAAGTAAGTGTGTTATGTCCATGTACCAACTTCACACAAGGACTGTAAACATTCAGTACTACAAACATACAATAAAAAATTTCAAAAGGAGTAAAAAAAGTATGTAATAATTTTAGTAGTGCACGTCCATGCCCCAGAGTAGTGTTTCTATCCAATCTATAGTTAACACTTGCATTTTTAGAAAAGCCAACTTTTGCCTTACTCCCTGGATGAATGTTTGCAAGGGCTGATTCTGAGATTCTATATTTTTTTTTAAAGCTAGGTATGCCAAATGAAATTAGAATTTAAATTTTAGATCTCCCTGGTCTGCAAACCCAATAAATATTACAACTCTATAGCATAGAAGGACTATGAATATTTCTGCAAAAAGTAGCTTCTCTGTAGCTTTCTTGGCTAGCATGCATAATGCTCTGGGTTTGATCTCCAGCACCAAAAAGAAAATACAATAAAAGATAGCTTCTCTGGTTCCTTTTAAGTGGTTTTGTTTGTGTAGTGGTTTTACTTATGCCCAGTTTTCAGTAATCTGTCTGTTGCTGACATGATACCCTTGGGCTGAGGTTGGCAGATGTAAAATAAATTTCTCTACCTACATTTTTCCAAAATGTTGATAGATATTCTAGAATTCAGATTCAGCACCAATTTTGATCTTGGCCTTGCTAGCATTTCTGAGATTCCTTATATGAGTCCCCAAACTGCACCTGAGTGTCAGGACTGTAGTGGCTCTGGGGCTTCTGTCCCCAGGTCCTGGTTCTGTAGACACAGGAGCTGGAAGGCTGGGAAGTGGCAAAGCTCAGTATGGAAGTTCATCAGCATAAACATTGCTGTCTTCATTGTTCCTAACCCTACCACTAGTGGTAGTTCTACATGGATTCATTTAAAGAAGAGTGTATCAAGCAGTGTGCTGTGGGGTATAGACCAGTAAAAGAGGCTCTGGTCTTCTGAAATTTGTTGTAGCATGCCTTGACACCCAAGCTTTAGTAGCTTGTCAGTTAATTAACCTCTAAAAGTCTTACTGTGCCCTTTTATAGAGCATCTGCCTTTCTTGAGCTTCATGAACAATCATTATCAACCATGCTCATTAATGTATTTGATCTCTACATTGCACCTTCCTGTGTCCTCTGTTATCGTCTCGGTACACATACAGTGAGTCATATTTCTTGCTGTCAAGGAGGCCATAGCTTTCTGGGGAAATAAGCAAACAACCAGTCTACAGGGAGTGATGATAGAGGCTTGCATGTGGCTGTCGGAACCCAGTGATGGAGTGGTAAGGGTGTGGGAAGGGGCTTTGAGTTGAAAGGCCTCACTATGGAGAAGCCTAACAGATACTTCAAGAATAAGCAGGTGTTCCCCAGAAGATGGTGTGGGGAAGGCATTCTGGGCATCAGATTAGCAAATGTAGTGACATGTAACTGTGGTAAAGGATGGCATGTTTAACTGGCATCGAGTAGGAGGATTTGCAGAAGTACTCATTTGTGAGTGCTGTTGAAGTGGATTTGCTGAAGAGCAGAACTCTTCCACAGTGTTTCCAGATTTTGTATCTTTTTTATTGTTGTAATGAATACACAACATAAAACTTAGCATCTTGTCTTAGTTACTTTTCTCATTGCTGAGACAAAAATATCTAACACTCAAAGTAAAGGAGGAAAGGTTTATGATAGCTCACAGTTTGTAGAGGTTTCAGTCCAAAGTTCACTGGCTCCAAGACAGGGTAGCATGGCAGAGAAGCATTACAGAAAACAAATAATCCACAGCAAGCAGACAAGCAGAAGCACCTTCCCTATGGCAAGTATATCACTGACACTCTTAGTCCTAGCCAGAACTATGCCATAGCAATCAGTGGATCAATTTGGGAATCCCAGCACCACACACTCTAGATCTAGCCATCCCTGAAAAGTCCCACTCATAACTGCATGAGACTTGGGGGGAAATCTAGATATAAGCCATAGCGCATTTTAACCATTTTTTGGCTAATTAATTAATTATTTTGTACTGGAATCGAACCTAGAGCCTTCACACTGAGAAGCTATTTCCCTAGACCCCCTATTATTTTATTGTTTTAAAATTTTGAGACAAGGTTTTACTAAATACATTGCCCAGCTGAGCTCAGATTTTTCAATCCTCTTGACTCTGCCTTCCAAAGTGCTAAGATTACAGGTGTGCACGACCATGCCTACCTCATCTTAACCATTTTTAAATGTATAATTGTATGCTATTAAATATAGCCACATTATTGTGTAACAGTCACCACCATATACCTCCAGAATCATTTAAAAACTGCAGCTCTATACCCATTAAACTGAGTATCCCTCTCCCCCTGAAAGCCACCATGCTACTGTCTTTTTGACTTAGACATTAGGTACCTCATGAAAGTGGAATCACAAAATATTTGACTTTTTTGAGTAGCTTATTTCATTTACTGTGTTCTCTTCAAGCTTCCTCCATGTTGTAGCATGTGTCAGCATTTCTTTTTTAAGGCTTCATAATATTCTTATTGCGTGTATAGTAACATATTTGTGTATCTGTTCACTTAGTGACATTTGGACTGTGTCTACCTTTTGGCTATTGTGAATAATGCTGTTATGAACATGGCTGTACTCAGACTTTGTATTTTTTATGTAATTTATTAAACTTTCACCAAGTGCAGAAGGATTTCTTGCAAACCCTTTCTGAGATAGTTCCTTTGGTTGAAGTGCTTGCAGTTTGGTTCACACTCAGGAAACCAAGGCTATAGGTAGAGTATAATTAAGATGCCCAGGAGCATTGTCAAAATTTACTGTTGATCATTTGCAGGAGGCAAAGCCACAGGCTCTTCCAGAATGGTAGGAACACAGCTGAATGTAAGCCAAGGACTTTCAGAGCAATGGCCTCACCATTTGCCTGTGCAGACAGACCCCTCTTCCTTCTGGCAAGTTGCTTCTTAGCCCCTAGCTCGTGGAGAAGCTGTGGCTCATGTCAGTTAGCACCGTGGGGCAGTGGGAAGGAGCTGCTATAGGTAAGAATGAGGGGACCTGAAGCAGGTGAGAGAGGGCACCACTCACCAAATTGTTTGTAGCCAAGCTGACCGAGGTACCAAGGTTCCTGTGAAGAAGTGTATTTTGGTTAAACTCGACTATAGTTAAACATTCAAGAAGCTATACATTGTGAAAATTAACTGTTCAGTATCTCTGTAGTATTTAACACCCTTTCCCCAGCCTCTAATTAAATAATTCTGTTCCTTCTGTTTCTGCAGTGCAGCTTCAAGCGCAGGGCTGGGCTGGCTCCTTCCTGAGCTTCCCATCTCTTGGGTACCCAGAGACTGGAATAGAGTCGTAGGGTAGCGAGGCAGTTCTGGGAACCAGAAGATGCTCAAGATCCAGGCTGCTGGTCTGGAAGCTTCTAGCCAGTGTCTTGCTTGTGTCGCTTATTTAGTCTTTACTTATAGCTGCTGTTGTTCCCTGTCCCCAGCCTTCCCTCCCTGGCCTCACTGATTGACACAGCACTGAAGTTCCAGGGCCACTCTTTCAATACAAGGCTCAAGGCTCTGTTTATGAACCCCAAACACTTACCCTTGGCCTTTCCTGTCTGTGCTTGGCATTCCAGGAGTTGTAGTGTTTTGTTCTTTGAAAGGTCAGGTTTGTAGGGCTTAATCTGTCTTTGCTGGTGGAGCTCTGGGCAACAAAGCAAGTGTACCAGAACAGTCTGGCCATGTCGGGTGGAGGGCCAGACCTCTTGGCACATACTCGGGGCCTGGCATGAGCTATAGACGGTGGCACCAGCAATGCTGTTTGTTCTTTAGCCACTGGCATAGTCGGAGCATATTGGATTCCTGTTCCAAGGAACAGGAATTCCTTCTGAGCCTGCTTGTACTGCACCTTAGAGCAGCACATCCTGGGGAAAGCTGCTTCTCTCCTGTTACAGTTACTGCATTACTGCTGTCCTTCTTCAAATCCATTTCTTCTCCCTTTAATGAGTACAATAGCATGGCTCTTTAAGAGAAGTGTAGTTGCCATGTAAACAGATGACTTAATGTGAATACTTAAGCATTTTTAGACAGTTGATTTTCTTTCATGCCCAGAGTTTCCAGTGGAAGTGCAATTAAACTCTATTGGTGCTTTGGAAAGGATTTGGGACATCAGGGGCAGGCGGAATGTGACTGACCCGAGAGCCCTTGTTGGCACCACTCAGGTAGTCCTGGAAGCTATTTGGGGACTCAAAAGCCTGTTTCTTGCCTCTCTCACCTCTCTTCATTTTTAAAGACTCCAGATCATTCCAGCTATTGAGAGGAGCACCTGTGTTGTCACTGTCATTGAGATTCTGGGAGAAAATTGATACTTTTTTACACAGTCACTGTTACCCATTGATCTTGTAGGAGCCATCTGGAGATCTGTGCATGGTGATCAAGTTAGAAACTATTTCCAAGCTTCGGTATTTTCCAGGTTTCTACCTCTGTGCTCTTTGTTGGCTTTGGGTACCAGCCTGAGGCTGACTTTTGCTTTGCTCCCTGTCTCTGTGTTTGCTCCTCTGCTTTTCCCTTCCTCCTGGCCTCCTTGGTAAAAGGGAGAGCTGTGGACAGGGTAGAGTGATAAGATGGAAAAATGACCACCAGACTGGGAGAGATTTGGGTTGTGAGCACCTGCAAACTCAAATTCAGAGCTTTCCCTGACAATATAAAGATACTTTACCCCATTAGCAGGTTGTGTCTAGTCTACGTGCAGTAGCCTCCCAGTAGGCATTAGCACCAGCTGTGTACAGCAGAATAAGAGCAGCATGGAGATTTCAGTAGGGGATGTAGACTGCAGATGGTAGAAAACTTCAGAAAAGAGTGAAGGAGAAAGGGTCAGATTTCTGATGATATTTTCACCTTGTTAGGATGGTTTGCATTCATTCCCATCAACACACCAACTGGAAATAATTAGGTTTTAGAAGCATCAGCAAGGAGCTGGGTGCCTCTTACCAAGTCCAGATAGTGGCATAGTCCAAGAAGGCCTTGATAATAAAGGGTCCAGAGTACAGGGACTGTGGGTTGGCTTTGGGTCCTGGGTTACTTACTTTTTAGTCTGCAGCTCAGATGTCTGATTAGAGAGTTTTCCTGAGAAATTTTCTGGGTGGTGATATTAAGATGAGGATGAGAAGTGCTCAGAATGAGGTTCATTGAGGAAAATGCAGAATTAGATCACCAGTTATGAGTTAGCTATATGAGTATAAGGGAGGCTACAAATATGCAAATGTGACCTAAAGATTGAGGTTTAGGGATGAGGCAGAGTGGTTGGAGCAGCCCTGTCCAAAACGACAAATGTGAGTTCACAACAGAGCGGCTGTGAGATAGAGCTTTCTTCATGATTATCATTGGTCAGATCTTTTCTAGATTACTCTCCAGCCCCCAAACATTCAGGCCAATGGAACTACGGATAGACTTGGAGACTGATCCATGGACAAAGGAATTTGGAAACTAAACTTGTAGCAAATAACTTAGAATTCAGAATTACCTTTTCTTGTCTTTACTGGGGATGAATGAAGTCCCAGTTGAGTTTGTTTAGACACAAGGAGACAATGAGAGTCATTAGATGGTAGAATATGTCACTGAGGGAAAGTTCTAACATATGTTGATGAGATTTCCAAAGTAAGCTGTATTTTAATTGCATTAGGATGGATACATTAGAAGGTTTTTAGGTGTATTTCTCTGGTCCTGGTTGATGGTTGGGTGGTAAAATTAACGATCACCTGGGATCCATATTGTAACCCAGAGATTGCCCAAGCCTGTAACTGTAGATATCTACCTCCTTTCACATCTCCTGAGGTGTTCCCAATAGCCAAGAACTACACCCAGCTAGTCCAGTCTTTGCCAGGCTGTGGGCTAGCTGGGGCCCTGCAGATATGCGAACCTAATCCAATTCTCCCTCTGTGCTCTCTTCTCTGCAGTATGAATTTAAAGCCAAGAACATCAAGAAGAAGAAAGTGAGCATTATGGTTTCAGTGGATGGAGTGAAAGTGATTCTGAAGAAGAAGAAAAAGGTAAGTGCTCTAAACCAGAAATTGTGTGAAGAGGGAAGGTAGGCATGGGGTGCTTTTTCCTTCTGGAACATTCTCTGGACAGAATACGCCCTTACCTAGTGAGGTCTTTCATTTTGACCAGTAGCAGTATTAATAGTGGGTGCAGAGTCCGGCAGGGGCACATGGTCTGGTTAGAAAATTGCTTAGTCCTGGTGCTGGGCTGTCTCCCATTGTCCTTGCATTCAGAACCCCTTCTCCATTTTGGTACCCTTACCTTTGAGCCTTGACCATGGGAAGTGCTTCCAATGTGAGTGATGTATGTTGAGCACCTTAGTTTGAAATCCAGAATGTTCCAAAAACTATAACTTTTGGGGTATCATGTTGGCTCTCAAAACATTTCAGGTTTTGGTGAACCTCAGATGTGGGAGTTTTAGATGTAGTGATACTGAAACTGGTCTATACAAATATTCCAAAATCCAGAAAAACTCTAAAATTTGAAATGGTTTGGTCCCAAGCATTTTGTAATTTGTAACAGGTCTCAGTGGGGGAACAGACAGTGGAGACTTCTCAAAACTGTCCCTTTATGTTGCTGGAACAATTTTAAGCCTCACTTGAGGTGTATCCACACTGTGCATCCTTGTGTCCTCCTGTTATAGCTGCTACCATCTAGGAATATTTTTATGCCTCCCCCACCCATGTGAATAGCCATGAGACAGTCCTGAGACTCTTGCCATGAGCTGTTAAGGAGCTAGACTCGAAATTATGAGTGACAAAAATATTAAACTGAGCAGGACGTATGCTCAGAGAAGAAAAGGGCAGATGTACCCCAAACTCGTGATGCAGGGACACTGACTTTTGTCCCGTGTGTCAGAGTGCTTTACTCCGCCCTTCAGAATGTGAGGGGACCTGGTGGCTCAGCAGCTTCAGGAACCAACTGGTAACATAACTGGCCAATTGTGTGTACTTTCCAGGTGACACAGTTCTTTCATACCCATTGACATGCATCCTTCCATCAGTCTTAGTGGACATTTTTCTTGGCCAAGGATTTCTTTACTGATCTCTCCTCTTTCTCACCAGGGGTTGAGTTGTCAGCCTTTCAGACCATGGAATGCAGACTCACCAGTTTTTGAAGTTCTGAATATTAGCATCAAAATTCAAACTGCTGGAGCCCAAACAAGGCTGATGTAGAAACCAGACCAACAGTTTCCTAATTCACTGTGAGCCATAGAACAATCTCTTAGGCCAGATACTCTCATTACCTGGACTAGCACATTTCCTTTTAGTTAGAGGCAAATGACATGAGAAGGCAAATAATTAGAGGGTTCTGTGTGAGAAAGAGTGGCAATTTAGCTGGCTATGTGACAGGAGTGTTCCCTGGTTGCAGGGAATCCCTGACAGCACACTGCCCTGCTGGGTGTTCATGGTGGCCTTGTTGGGCAAACGCTGTTCCTGGGGTCTGATTGGCATAGCCTACCTGGATTTCCTTCTATACTGTCCCAGTTCTATACCTCCATGAGTGACACTCCCATGACTGCCCTCTTACCTTGGAGCACATACACTGCTGACTAATGTCATCTCTGTTTACATTCAGTTAAGTAACATTTCAATGCCTGTTTTAGGAACTATTCCATTCCTTTAGGGTAACCTAGCATTCCTCTGATGTCATCCACTATGGGGTGACTTCATGGATTTTCCCTAGGAGACAATCTTTTTTGCCCATCTCTGTGCCCTGTGCATACCACACTTGGTGGTATCCCTATTCTCTGTGTGAGGGACAGGTCAGGTGACTCAGGCAGCCCTATGCTGAGGGAACACCTAGAGGAGACTCTGTCCCCACCCTACCCCACCCTCAACCAAGTGCACAAAAGTTAAGGTGGAGTGGCATTTCCCTGAAGGCAAAGGTGGCCTGGGACTTTGTGACTCACTTTGAAATTCTATGCTGGGGCATCTCCAGTGTTCCCCCAACTGCAGAACCAGGACAGAGGTGACTCAGCAGGTCTTTCCTGGGCCAGATGGGAGCCTCCCATCTTGCTTCCTCCACCCACATTTGGTGTCCATTTCAGGACCGTGACCGTGATTCTGATAATGCCTTTAATCACTGTGCATTTCCTCCTGCCTCTGCCAGATGAATGCACATTAGCAGCAATCAGCCTTTTGGTCATGATGTTCCTGTGTGACACTCCTCTGGTATCTGAGTGTGCTCCCACCACACTCACACATGCTGTCTTTCTCTGTTTACAGAGTTGGGGGTGGAGGAGGCGGGCCATAGGATAAGGTATTGGAATAGTCTGTGAAGGTCCCTAATGGGGTCAGGTCATGATTAGCTTAAGCGCTGGCACTCTTGCCAGCTTGGCAAGATGTCACAACAGCTGTGGCTTACAGTCAGCCTTAAGGCTGCGGTACCATGTGCAGCCTGACTTCTCCACTGATGAGTGGGTGCCTGGCCTCACTGATTGGTGAAATGCAGACTAATCTTCAGAGATTTCACTGGGCCAGTGTGATGTGCTAGAAGGGCCTCTAGGTTGAGATGAGACCTTCTGCATGCTATGTGCTCTGGGCACCCTGAGCTTCACCTAAAAATGAAGGCTTGGGCTGGATCATTTCAGTTTCCAGCTCAGGTTACTTTAAAACAGCTCTAGAACTGTGCTTTTTAGTGCATGTGTGTAACTGTAAGTTACTTTATGTAGTCAGGTCTTTGGGAACCT